GCAGGAGGAGAAGTCCAGGCCTCCCAGATGAGGTCCGAGCAGATGGGGTCGGAGGATCGCGCCGCATCGCCGATGCATCACCGATGCGGTTCGATGCGGAGCTCGAGTTTCTTGACCCCGACGGCGCTGATGCATCGCCGATGTCGATCATGCATCGCCGATGCATCGGCGACGCATCGGACGTGCGGCGCGATCCGCGGACCCCACTTTCCCGGACCCCATCCACAGTCGTAGTAGCAGTCGTATTCGTGGAACAATGTGTTCTGCTATGTTTAGTATTGCTCTTAGAATTACGTACTCGTAGTGGTACTCCTATTCTGGGTCGTAGGAGTCATGGTCGGAGAGGACGAAGGTGAACGGTCGATAATTAATAACTTTCACCCGCAACGTCGAACGCAGGCGCGACATGATCGCATGATATCATACGCCTTTGGCCTCCTGGGGCTGACGAGTCACAAATGCGATATGGGGTGAGTCATCGTGAGCTTTCTCCCTACTTATTATTTGTCGCTCTGTAAGTGGCACGTATCGAGGGCAGATCGTATTGCTTTCGTTGCGATTCTGTTGTGGTGTGACATGGTGTGACTACGACGTGGTGTGACTTCCCTCGCGGTGCAGCCGCTCTTTCTCAGAGGCTCTTCTTCGCCATGCAAATTCAGGTCGTCGTTGTCCTGGCGCTCTAGATTCTTCCCTCCGCCAACCTCCTCGCTCCTGTTGTTGCTCCTCCACCTCTCCTTCCTTCTTTGACGGATATGCGAGGCGTCGCTATCAAACGGTGCCGACCAAGCGGCACGGACCCATGCACAAGTGACGAGATGAAATATTGATTCACGCAGGTCTGTGCTGGGTGACAACACCAGCAAGAGGACGTGTTGCCCATTCTACCTTCTGAGCACGGGAAGCTAAGGGAAGATCCGTTACAAACCAACATTGGAAGGCGAGTCGACGACATGGGTGAACCTACCTCATGCAATCGCGAATTAGTTGCAAAACCTTGAAATACAGTGCCAGTGGACCCCCTGCATGGAATCGCTGTAGGCATAATCTGCCCACCAACTTGAAAGACCTCGCCCACTTAAATTTCATCTGCGTGTTCAGTTTTTATCTAGGAACCACCACCGTGCCCAGGTTGTAGTTCAGAGGCCTCTTGGATGCCCGTTTGGATCTTGGGAGGCCTCTCGCCATCATCTTGGGGATGGTTTTGGGTTGTTTGGGGATCTCTGGGGGGGCTTCCGGTTGCCTCTTTTGGGTCCTCTTTTGGGTCTTTTGGGGGACTCGTGGGGCTTCTTGCTTGCCTCTTCGGGCCTCTTGGGCCGTCTTGGGAGGATCTTTGGGGGCCTATGGGGCTCCGTCTTCGAGCGTCGGAAGTCCGAAAAGCGAAAACGCTGAAATCCATGCCAACTGGAGGGAAATCACTGATTTCGGCCTCTGGGGGGGTCCTCTTGGGGGCCTCCTGGGGGCGTTTTGGGAGCCTCTTGGGCTCTTGGGTGGTCTTGAGGCCACCTTGGGCGTCTTGGGGAGCTCTCGGGCCGTCCCCCAGGATCTCCTTGCGCCATCCCGTAGCTATCTTGGCTCGAGTTTGCCTCGCGTCAATCGGTTCAGACATATTGAACACATCTGTACCGTATCGTGTCCCATAGCATGTTGCCGCGAAAGCGCCTGGCGACATCTCGATATGGAGTGGTTGCAATTATCAAGCTATTGGGGTTTCTTCCACTTGCGGCGTCATTGGCGCTGCCCTCAGTCGTTTTTGTATCGGGAATGTAGACAGACTCAGACAACAAAGTATTCAATTCGTTACGGCGCGAAGCCTTCAGGGTCTGACAACCTATGGGAGTACTATCACTTCTTGATCGATTTTGCTCCAGCTATGTTGCACTTCATGCGAAACGACAGCGCGCCCTGCAAAAGTTTGCAGGTGCCAGGCTGGAACGGAACAAAAGACAAGTTCCTTTTGGCGTTGCCGGGCCAGCCGCAGAGGAGCATGGAAGCGCACTTTGAGTTCCTCTTGGGGCAGCCGTTGGGTCTGACCATCGAAGTTGCCAGCAGCTTTGAGGCCTTCGCGGAGAACGCCAGGACGTCGAGGCAGGTCGACTGGGACTGCCACGGCGCAGGCCGGTCGAATGAGTGGTCTGGATTCCCTAACGAGTACTTCGTGGAGTTCCGGGACCACGCCTGGGGCCTGACCAGCGGGCCGCCAGCCCGGCACCGGGACGTCGTCGCCGTGAGGCGCGGACGCCTGCCAGAATTACAAGGGCCCACCCACGGGGTGTTCTCGTCGATGCCTGGGCGAGCGCTTCTACGATCGTCTGCTTGAAGTTTCGCTATCGAACGACTGGGACACGGCCGTGGTGGCGCTCGAAAATCAAGCTATTGCCGACCAGATCGCTCTGTTTTCGCATGCGAATGTCATTATTGCGCAGCATGGCGCCGCGCTGTCGAACATAATCTTTGCACCTCCTGGAACGCTGGCCGTCGAGGTGGGAAAGGCCGATTTTCCATGCTTCCAGAGGTTATCTGCAAAACTTGGGTTGCCTTTTCTCCATTGCGATACGGATGAGTTTTCAGATGACGTCGCACAGGGCATCTCGACAGCGTTAGCAGCTGACGTCGGCAGAGGCGACGAGCAGTTGAGGGAGCTTTGCGATGTCATCGGGCGGTTCGCCCTGCCGCCCGATCGAGAGCAGCGCGCCCCTCATGTGCGCTGCCCCGATTTCGCAACGTGCGTGGGGCAGCAGTTCGGGCAGTAGTAGAAGTCGCAACGACTCAGCCAGAGCCATCTACAGGGTTCTCGGTCGAGGCAGGAGTGAGGGCGTCGCTGTGGCTCGAGGGAGACAACCTTCCACTTCATCTGTGTACGTTCCTGCTTCTCTTCGTTATCCCATAATCCCCTTCTTCCTCCTTCCCCAGATTCGATATCGCCTTCCTCGTCGGCGAGCGAGCGAGGCGCATGATATTCCCTGACGCGTGCATTTTTTTAGCAGTCGCCTTGCTGGTGGGCAGTGTAACTGAGACACGGGTTTAATAGCCAGCCAGACGGGAGTCCTCTGTATTTCCTCCCTCCTCCCTCTCTTCTCCCGCACGGCCAGCAGGTCGTTTCAGGCTTTCCTGAGTAGTTCGGTGGACGCAAGCACATCCCTCGATCCACGCAAAGGCCCCCGGGGTCGCTATGAACCGACGCGGTATCTTAGCAGGAACTGTAGACTACCTTCTCACGCGCCCGGTAGGGCCAGCGGGGGTCCTTCCCCCTCACCTCACTTTCGTTTCCTTGTTTCCCCCCCTGATTCCCTTCTTCCTCCCCCCCAGATTCGATATCGCTTTCCTCATCGGCGAACGAGCGAGGCGCATGCATGATACTCTCTGACGCGTATTTTTTTTTTGCAGTCGCCTTGCTGGTGGGCAGTGCAACTGAGACACGGCTTCAATAGCCAGCCAGACGGGACTCCTTCCTCCTCACCTCACTTTTTCGCTTCCTTGTGTATGATTCGCTTCTTCTTCCAACCCCGAATTCTATATCGCCTTCCTCATCTGCAAGCGAGCGAGGTGCATGATACTCTCTGACGCGCACACGGTTGTTCAGTTGACACCCAGCAAGTGGATAGTGCAACTGATTCACGGCGTGAATGGCCAGCCAACAAAAGAAAACAATGATTTCCTTGCACCATCTTGGATATTGTTTTTTGTCGGGTCCGGCGATAAGCTGGGTTATCGGGCTTGCCCCCCCCCCCCCCCACCCCAGGATAACCTGACTTTGCCGGTTGTGCAGGTCCGGGGCAGGCGGGCGCGGGCATATGCAGAGCTGCCCACAGCGCGAAGGTTAGGTTATCGGCCGGCCCCCTCCTCCCCCCCACCCCGTGGATAACCCGTGTTATCATGCAGAGCTGCCCACAGCGCGAAGGTAGGTTATCGGCCGGCCCCCTCCCTCCCCCCCCACCCCCTGGATGACCCAGGGTATCGCCGATTCCAGAAAAGGCGGTCTCTTGGAGGCTCCTCCTCCGCCTCCTCCTCCTCCTCCTTGAAGCCCTGCTGGCCTGCCTGGGGGCCTCTGGCCCTCGGAGAAAAGCGCCGCGCGGCAGCGCGCGCGGGGAGCCCCGAGAGCGGCCGGAGAGCTCGGGGCTGCGGGAGGAGTATGACAATCTCCAGCGGGTGGGACCTGAGTCTCAGCCTCCCAGCTGGGATCAGAGTAGAGGAGGAGGAGGAGGCGAGAGGAGGAGGAGGAGGAGGAGGAGGAGGAGGAGGAGGAGAAGGAGGAGGAGGAGGAGGAGGGGGCCGTGGAGGGACGGCGGGGAGAGCAGGAAAGCAGGAGGAGAAGTCCAGGCCTCCCAGATGAGGTCCGAGCAGACGGGGTCAGAGGATCGCACCGCATCGCCGATGCATCGCCGATGCTGCTCGATGCGGAGCCCGATTTGCTTCACGTCGACGTCGCCGATGCATCGCTGGTGCATCGCCGATGCATCGCCGGTGCATCGCCGATGCATCGCCGATGCATCGCCGATGTATCGGCGATGCGGCGCGATCCTCCGACCCCACCTGCTCCGACGCCATCTAGGAGGCCTCTACTGAGGGCATTCCATTTCTTGCCTCGGGTGCCTCGGAACACGCTGGTGGATATAATCAGTGCTCTGTGCTGGCCAAGACAATACAGAAGTCAAGGGGGGGAGGGCGGTAAACATAAACTCTTCGCCCGCCAGTTTTCATTCACATGAGCTCTTCGCCAGTTTTCACTGACGTCTCTCTCTCTCTCTCTCTCTCTGTCTGTGTCTCTCTCTCCATTTCGTCCCTTTCGCCATGGCAGGCCCACGACGAGATGCTGGAGGCCATGAAACGTGACCCCGCCACTGGCAAGTCCAGGTTTCTTCAGCTCGTGTGGAGAACAGACCCTCTCGTACATAAGTGAACGAACAGTTTTGAGCAAGGGCATGGAAGTAGAAGCTGTTCCTGGCATTGGTATCATATGGGTTGAGAGGGAGATTTCGAGATAATGATCAAAAAGGGAGACACATATGAAGCCAACTTTGACGACAAAGAGACAGACAGGTGGAGATATAGCGATGCACGGAGAGATCGCGCGTGAGAGTGGCTATGTTCCGTGAAAGTGTATGTAATTGTTGGAAACATGTCTATATAGAGGGTTAGAGAGGAGGAGGGCATAGGGTTAAAGAGGGAAGGACACATGTATAGGGATATACATATATTATGTATATCGAGGTTGTGTGTATTGGGAGTGATTTGGTTATTCGTTTGCGGTCGTGCACCTTCGCGATTGGAATCGCAGAGTCCTGAAGTTGTCGTCCGCATGAGCGCAAGCCCAGAATGGTTCAGCGTTCGTCCATGGAGCGCCCTGGCGCGCCATGCGGCGCCCTGCAACGCCCTTGGGCGCCCTTGGGCGCTCTTGAGCGCCCTGTGTGGGTGAGTCTGATCCGTGTCTGTAGGCCGACGGAGAAGGAATCCTAGTGCGGGCGATGCTTCGGGCGCCCCCCGCTCTGTCTGCGCTGATGGGCGTCTGCGGGCCCAGTGGGGGTGAACCCTGGTGCGCCCATCGCCCCATCTGTGCAAACGAGGAGGACACCTTGAGATATTGGAAATAGGTGCTTCTCAGAAGCCTCCGGGCCCCTTCAGAAGAGGGCCCCTGCCTTCTGAGAAGCTCCCCCTGTGCCTTCTCAGAAGGCAGCCCTCCCTTGCGCCCCCCCTCGAAGGCGCCGTAACCCTTCCCTATCGCTCCGCCGAAGGGTGCGGCCGCCGCCCGCCCGCCCGCGGTGGAGGGTGCTAGAGCGCTATGGCGGGGACTGCGACCGCGTCGCGCGTATGCGCTCCCTGCTGGAGTCCGTGGAGCTCACCGGCAAGCGGCAGGGCGACAGGAGGCTGGCGGAGGCCCCTCCTCTCTCCTCGGGGGGCAGCGCTGGGAGGGAGGGGTCGGAAGGTTGGGCTCAGGGGGGTTATTTGCGGGGGAGGGGATAGGACGAACGGGGGGGATAGGGAAGGGGGGAGGGTACGACATCTGCTGCACGC